CTGCCAGGCCACAGAAAGGACCCAAACTATTGACTTACAGTAACTTGGCAGTTCCTCAAAAGTGATGCTAAACTGAGCTCATTCTTTGGCCTCGAGCCTGATTTGTTATGCATACTATACAGGGGCAAAGTTTCCCATCACATGAGACACTTCTAAATCCCAATTTTTATTATGGCGGTAGATGTGCCATCCCAATACAGGGCTTAGTTGTCCAGCAGTACATTCCTTTCTGCAGAATAAAGTCATGGATCACATGCCAGGACCGGGTCAGCCAAGCAAAAGGCCACTGCTGCTGTTCCATCTGCCCTAGCCCTGTTCACTTTTTTTAGCTCATGTGACAGGTTTTGCAGTGAATTTTTGGATAGTGATTCCCCGGTTTACCTCGAGCTGATCCAGTCTTCCCTGGAAAGCCTCAGTGTAGGCTGCGTTCTGGTTTATTGCTATTGCAGCACTTCCATAGCTATACACAAAGGTTAGTGCCACAAGCCAGGCCAACAAGCCTGAGCAGAGGTGTCCCCTCTCTCCTTTTCATTCCTCCTGCATTACAGATGTTTTTGTTGTGTTAGTCTGCTCAGCAGTTCACTTGTTGTCTTCCACCACCGGCCTGGGAAATGGTGGCCTAGGAGAGCCAGTGAGTGCTTACCCACTGGTGCAACCTAGAGGCATATAAGAGTAAGTAGGTAGGGAGTGACTGCCATAAGTTATTTAGATCATAGCTGTCCATAGTGAGGTTCATGAGCAGGGCTTTTTAATCATACAGTCACTTCATTCATAGCTACATTAAACTGAGGACCTGGCTACTGCTCCTGTGCATGGCACTGGTGACAAGCAGGAAGGCTTGAGAGGGTCAGCAAGAATACAATTGGCTTCAAAACTGGGATTTAAAAAGACAAACAGAATGAGAAAAGCATGAAGGAGAGATGATATTAAACCTCAGTGTATGAGTAGCTTAGAAATATAGAAGCAGTCTGAATTTCCTAAATCTTTTTCTTTTTTAAAATTTTCCTAGTTCATCTTTTTTTTCTCCCCCAGCAGCTATGAGTTTTCTCCCCATAATGTACTTTTGTGATCATGGGGATAGGGGGACAGTCCGTGATTGGTTTTCCATTTATTTATTCCTTCATGAGTGGCAGGACTGGATAAGTCTATGGGTAGGCAGAGGGGTTTCCTTTCCCAGCCTTTTTTTTTTTCATCTATTTTTCATGTTCCCAGCTCACTGGTTGTCTCCTCCACAGGTGGGTTTCTCCCCTGCAGTTTGCTTCATGTACAGAAACCCAAAACAGCAGGCTGCATTAAAGACCAAACTCAGACCCTGCCTCTCAACTCTGGCTAGCATGATGTACGGTGTCTGCTTGTGTTAAGTCTCTTGGTGGGCTGCTTTTCCCGAAAAGCTTCAGAGGCATACCATCAGCATCACCCCTGATAAAGAAGCAGGGGCAGAGGGCTGAGGTGAAGTGATGAGCTGTACTCCCTCCAGCAGACTCCAGCTGCAGGGCTCAGGAATACTGACCCAATAGGCTGATGGAGTACTATAGACCATGATGCAATGAGAGAGAGCCTCTAGCTGTTAAACCATTCATTTCAATTAGCCAAAGACAACAGTGAGGAAAGGTCACGACTTTCTTATGTGATAATTACCATGGCCCAGACATGTCTCAGTTCCCAGGAGGCCAGCTCTGACAATCATGACTGACAGAAACAACAAGGCACGGAAGTATGAATCTATAGGGAAAGCAAAAGCTGTTCCTTCACTAAGCTGTCAACACCATCACATGGGAGCTCAAGCCATGATTGCAAGTGACAGGCAGGGCAAGAGTGAAAAATCTAATCCTGTTTTCTCTGCGGCCGCAGCCCTGACATGGCGTGCTAACCTCTATTCAGTGTCTCATTTTCCTTTCAGGTTGCTGAACAGCTTATTAATCCATTTGGAGAAGATGATGATGATTTTGAAACTAACTGGTGCATCGATAGAAATTTACAGGTTGCTGTTATTATTTCTACTTCCATCTTTACTGTACTACACATTATCATTACACTGAGGTGCAAATTAAGGGCAACAAGTGTAAGCAAAACAAATTCTTTCCCCGAAGGAGTACCTATACCTGTGATCCCCAGGTTTTCTTTCCACAAGTTAATGCATCTCGATTTTGGTATTTGGCATTTATGATGCCCGACTAAACATGCAAACAGCTGTCCTCAAACTATAAGCCAGCTTTATACCTGGGAAAACACATAAAGTAGGTCAATCCTGCAAAACCTAAATGCCATCCATTCCCACATAGATAAGAACATGTTTTGCTAATCTGAACGTCTAGGGATTACAATATTGTATATGAACTTTTGTTTGAAAAAGAGAAAAGGCAATAAAAATACAAAAAGACCAAGAAGGGCCCTGAACTAATAAGCAGGGCCCATACCATAATTCATGTTGTGATGCTGCCATCCACAGCAGTACCTGTGGTCAGCACAGGAGCCAGTGTCCTGAGAGGCAGGAGATGTGAGGTGGCCAGAGCACAGATTTATGGCAGTTACCCCCCAGTTCCCAGTTTCTAGTTCCTGTCCTGCCATGAAGGAGACCAAAGACAGGTCTCATAGCACCCACTGCTCCCCTTGCAGGTAAAGCCAAGCATAGGGTTGAGCTGCTGTCAGACTCCACACCTGCTGGGGACCACTGAGACTCCAAAGCAGAGCCCAGATATTAGTAGGAGCAAGGACAAGGCAAGCAAACCAGCACATTAAGCAAAGGAAGCAATGCAGCTATGCAAGGAGTGGGAGAGGCCTTCACACTGCCCAAGATGCTCTCTGACTTAACACCACTTCAAGCTATTCATGCTATGGTGCCTCAGAGCCCTTTGTATAAAATACATTGGAGGGTCCTAAAACAGGACAGTTGCATGCTTGGTTCTGAATGTCTTAAAATGTGGATGAAGCCTGTCAGAAAGCTTCTTGACTTCTGAACATTTTAAGGAGCACAACTAATACTCTACACAGACTTCCCGTAGCATGTGGAGGATCAGGGGTCCATTTAACTACATCATGTGTAAAGAAAGGATACAATCTGATGCAAATATCTTTGCATCATAGAAGATATAGGAGGTATAGGAGGGCATGGGGGGTAAATTTTGTAATAATGAGTCTTTTCCCAGTGCCCAGGCCAGCATACACAGCTTACTTTAAAGGCTTTCTGAAAGAAGCCTTGACCCAGGGAGTACAAAACACATTACTTTGTATGCTGTACTATGTTGAAAGTGATGTGATTTATACCCAAAAAACCTAAGGTGTCTCTACTGGCGGTGGATGAGATGCACATGAATTTACCAAGGATCGAGAAAGATATTTATTGGAATGATTCCTCTGCCCGGCCGCCCTACACAAAAGCAGCTGCTGATTACTGTATTCCTTCATTTCTTGGATCAACTATTGAAATGGGGTGAGTGTCATCAGAAAGATCAGCACCCCTATAGCCCACGCTGACTGGCAGATGGTCAGCACAGGGCTGCAGGCTGTGATGATACTGTGAGTGGGGAAGGTGGAGATAGGAAATGATGTTAGGAAGGAGTAGACAGGCTGGTGTTGGTGGGATGATGTCTCCAGTGATCCATGTGCCCATACAAATTGTGTACCTAGAGCTTAAACTGTGTAATCCATAAATAGAATATGTTTGCAGGAAGACATTGTTGATAGTCTCTGAGCACAGGATGGCACCTGGGGACAGTGTGACTGACTTAAGAATTCTTTATTTACTACAGCTTCCTCATGCATCCCCTTGTTCACAAAACAGCTATTCCTTTGCTTGTTTAGTTAGCAAATTATGGCTGAAATCAGTCCAGATATTTGTGAAGATAAGAAATTATCTTAAGCGTTTTATGACTTTTCATTGACTAATAGTCTAGGCATGGAAGTTGGAGTGGTCAGATTTTGTGAGGTGATAAAGGAGTTATTGGCAGAGAGCGACACAAGAACCATTATTATAAATAAACATATAGGGGATATATATGTAGGATATTTTGTCAGGATCTATACAAGAAATCAGTGATAAGTCTGTTAGCTTAGAAGCTGTTGAGTTTAAACACTTATGACATTCTGTAGTATAGAGCAGGTCAGTAAGTGTAAATACCACCATGCCTGAACAAATAACATGGCAAGATATTTTCATCTGAAAATATTTTTTTAAAAAAATATATAGTAGCCACTTTTTTAACTTTAAAACTTATCTCAGGAAGTTGCAAGTTTTCCAATATTTTCCAGCCTTTATCAAAATAAAATGTGTTTAATTTTTTTCTTTTTTTGGCATGGAAATAGGTATTTTCTCATTTTTATTCATCTTATTTTTCCATTTTTGCATGCATTTTACTACAAAGAACAATGGTCTACACAAGTTCCTTTTATCATTCACAGCCTTTTCAGAATTTATTTTCTTCTGGAGAAACTATAAAATGGCCAAAAGAAAAGTAAAGAAGACAGTAAAAAATGTAAAGAAGAAAGCCTCATAGAATAGAATTTATTTTAATGGGTGACAAAGAGGAACTATTATTGAGTCTGCAAACAATTTTTTTTATAAGAAGCAGTTCACACAAAAAATGAAGGGGGGAGTGGGAGTGAATGAAAAATAACTCCATATTAGCTCCTGTGAAATGCAAGCAGCTCTGATGTGTTGACTTTCTTATTAATTGTTTTCTCCCTGAACTGTTTTTTTCTGTTCATCTCTGTCAAAAATGGGTAGTTCTCATGCAGACTTCAAGATCAAGGTCTAAAGATTTATCCACATCAAAGCAAATATATAAAACTTAAGCCCAAATCCAAAGTCTTCTCCAGTCCCTTCAAGAAAGCATCTGGAACAGCTTGCCCAGAGAGGTGGTAGGTGGCCCAGTCATGGAATATTTGCGTTTGGACAGGATCTTGAGCAACCTTATCTGGTTGAAGACATCCTTGCTTGTTGCAGGTGTGGTTGGACAAGATAACCTTTAAAGGTTCCTTCCACCCAAAATATTCTATGATTCTGCGATATTCACAAATGCTGGATGAAGTTCCTCTGTCTCTCTGGGTTAGCATTGCCTCCCTGTGCTCCTTGGCCCAAGCCCCTATGCCATCCTTGCCCTTAGGACAGGTAACTGGGACAGTTTGGCTTGTCTTCTGAGGTGAGTCAGTAATGTATACTGAACTTCCTGGTAGACACAGAAGTAGTTGTCCTCGTGAACCACCAATCTGGGCAGTAGAGGAGTACCAGGGATGGGGTAGACTTTCAGACACACTGTCATCCCCCAGCTATAAGTGAGATTTGGCCATTTGAGTAATTCCAGTATTTTTTGAACCCACTACACTCTGCTTCCAGGAGTATTTTTTTCACTGTTGTTATTTTTGCCCAAAGGATTCTCCTGAAAAGCTATCTACAGCACCAAGCAGAGTTTCTTTCTCCCCTTTCCCTCACTCTAAGCACAAGCCTAACCATGTAGAGCTGCCACAGAGGGCTGCAGCCCAAATATGAAATGGTGCCAGATGCCTGACTGGACATCTTCCCAGCCTGGTCCTCAGGAGAAGAAACGTCTGGATGGGGAGAGCTTTCTGTGTGGTTCCACTGGTCCAAAAGACCACCTCACCCCTTTTTCTCCTGTTCCATGCCCTTCCTTGGAGACACACTAGAGCCTTGTTCCTTTGTCTTCCTGTTGAGATAGTGGGATAAATGTGCATAGAAACCACGTTTCTTATACATGTGTCACCTACTACCTGGCTTTATTTGGCAGGCTGGCTGATACCGAGTTCCTCTATGGGGAAGAGTGGCCCTGGGAAGAGGACAAACACCGAAGACAGCATTCAGTGCTGAGAAGAGTCAAGAGATTTCTCAGTGTCCATGAGGGCACTCCGTCTCCAGCTCACCGCCGCTACAGTCGGCAGACCAGTGAGAATTCGGTGTTTTTCCCAGCAGATGAAAAGGGGCACATCAGACGGTTGCAGGAAATGCACACAAGAGGGAGACACTCTGCCTCAAGCTTCAAGAGGAAACATGAAGGAGTTGACAGAAGTAACAGACTCCATAGTAGCCGAGATCTAGGACCCATAACTGAAACGTCAAGGAACGAGGCACAGTTCAGCGACAGCGACGCCTCATCTGAGACAAACAAGCCAGTTCCTGAGGTCATCATCTCTGAAGCTGAGGAGAGAGCACCTGACATGCTGGGCAAACCAGACCTGCAAGCAGAGCGTTCCGCAAGCATGCCAGAAGAGAAGCTGCAAAGGAGCCTCATGGAGGCAAACATAACGCTTCTGGACCATCCTTTTTTCCCCCCAGAAATTACATACCTCCCAGGCTCTGAGGTGCACCAGTCACTCCCTACTGTGATAGGGGAGCCCAAACATGAACCCCGTGGTAGTAACATAGCTGGTTTCATAACAGATGATGAGAGAAACCTTCAGCGATGGAGTTTACCGAGCTTCCATAGTCATAGTACGGTGTCAAACACTGACAGTGCCTCACCTTTGGCAGATTCTGGGGCAACTTCACAACAAAGGACCTTCAGTGATGGAAAAAAAGTTACTTCTGCTGAGGCTCCAGAGACTTTTGAGATGCAGCACTTATGGGAAAACCTGGATAGTAAAGAAACAGCCATAGTAGAATTTTCTAATGAGAAAAGTGAAAGAAAACTTTGATCATGCTTCCCCTGGGTTTGACTGAACTTCTTATCTTCTCTTGAAAGTGGTTCTCATGCAGACTTGCTGGAAGTGCAGAAGGTCAAACACAGTGCTCAGACAAGTCCTGAGCAAGATCCAATAGAGGATTTGGGCACCTAAATAGGAGGCATAATGGTGAGGTGGTTTAAGCCACTTGGTTGCTGGCTTGAAATCTGAGACCCTGTGGAGAAATCATTTATGGAGAGAACTGGGAGCAGGAACGGATGCAAACCAGCCAGTGCACGTGGCAGTGAGCCGTGTAGGATCACCTAGAGGAAATACAACATTATCAGAAGAGCAGAGGTGGCTCTGTCCACTTTGAGCCCACCCTGAATACCGTTACCTTTGGTTGCTCCTTCATCTGAAGGAGCAGCCAAAGGTAACAGTGTTCAGGATGGATCCAATTCCTTCCTCACCCTGGAGAGACTCAGCCCACCATCTCTCACTGCCTGGAGGAACGCTTGAAAAATCAGGCTCCTCGCTTGTGTGAGGCAAGAACATGCCCTGCTCCTG